TGTACCATCAGCTGTTAGATTCTAAACTTGAGTGTGCTATAGGAACTACTTTTGTGCCAATTTCTTTTGAGCAGGAAGATTTTGTGGGGAAAACTATTCATTTTGATTAGTTGAATTATAACCTTAATTCATCAACAACCTGTGTTATGCAGATGACACAACCCTACTGGCTAAAACTGAGGAGGACTTGAAGCACTTTCTGCAGAACATCACGGACTGCAGTCTTCAATATGAATTGAAGCTCAACATCAAGAAAACAAAGATTTTCAGCACTGGGCCAGTGGCAGCATCATTATGGATGGTGAAGAGATTGAGATTCTTTTTTGTTTTCTTGGTTCCATAATCAACACTTTTGGTACCAGCAGCCAGAAAATCAAGACACAAGTTACATCGAGAAAGTTGATTGTCAGGTACTCTCCAGAGTACTGAAGAGCAACGATGTCAGTCTGGAGATTAAGGTGCACCTGCTCCAGGTCATAGTCTTTGCAACTGCTTGTTATGTGTCAGAGAGCTGGACAATGACTAGGAATGATAGAGAATTCATGTCTTTGAGCTGTGGTGCTGGAGAAGAATGCTGAATACACTATGGACTACTAGGAGCACAAATAAGTTCGTTCTGGAGAAGGTGAAACCAGGCTGCTCCTTGGAGGCAAGGATTCTGAAGCTCTGTCTGACATACTTTGGACATGTTATGAGGGACTCATCCTTAGAGAGGGACATAATGCTTGGGAGAGTGGAGGGGCAGTGTAGGAGAGGAAGACCGTCAATGAGACGGACTGATTAAGTCACGGGGGCAATGGGAATAAGGTGTAAGAGACAATAAAGTTGGCACAGAATAGAGTAGGGTTTAGGGCTCTTATATATAGGGTCACTATGATTGCTATGAGTCGCAAACAACTAGACGGCACATAACAGCAACAATAACATGAGTTGCAAGGGACTCGATGGCACATAAGAATTATTTTCCAATTATTTCTTCCAACTTATGGCACCTACTTTTGAAAATACAATTATATTAACTTTTATGTATAATTAAAAGAGGTGTTTTCACCTAAAATGACATTTTCACTTAAATACTGCTTAAAACTAATATTTTAAAGAATAGATTTGATACTGAGTTGACTGATGTGATATTGCAGCTGTGTAGCAGTATAAGGTATTCTGCAATATCACATCAGTCAACTCAGTATCAAATCAAAACCTACTACACAGTGGTAGTAACCAAAACAGCCTGCAACTGGTACAATGACAGACACATAGACTAATGAAACAGCATAGAGAACTAGAAATGGACTCAGCTATCTATGAGCAATTGATATTCAACGAGGGGAAAAAAAAACAATCCCTATCAAGTGGGGAAACTGAAAACCCCTTTTTTAGAGGTCAGGGAGTGCTATGCCTTCCACTTAATTTTTGTTTCTCAGAAGTGTTTTCCTTATTCGGGGTTTCTTGCCTATCCAAATGAACTTGACAATCTATCTTTCAGTCTCCTTGAAAAAAATTTGGTATCTGTATTGGGATTATGTTGAACATGTAGATTGCTTTTGGTAGAATTGTCATTTTCATGATACTGAGTCTTCCTATCCATAAAAAGGGCAAATTTTTCCATTTCTTTAAGTCTTTTATTGCATCCTGCGTAAGTGTTCTGTAGTTTTCTTTGTATAGGACGCTTGTGTCTATAGTTGGGTTCACTGTCATGTATCTCAATTTGTGATCATCTATTGTAAATGATACTGCTTTCTTGGTTTCCTTCTGTGAGTTCTGTTTGTTACTGAAGAGAAATCCCACTGAGTTTTGAATATTGATCTTATGTCCTGTCACTCTCCTGAATTGGAGCATCTACTAGCTCTAACAGGGTTGGGTTTTGTTTTTTTGTTTTTTGTTGTGTTTTATTTTTTTTTTTTTTTTAGTCCTTGGGGTTTGTTGTTTACACTACCATATCATCTGCATATAGCAATAGTTTAACCATCTCTTTGCTAATCTTGATGTCTCTTGTAGTTTTGCCCTAGCAAGCACTTTCAAAAGAATATTAAATAGAAGTGGTGACAGTGGGCATCATTGCCTGGTCCCTTTTCACAAGGAAAATGCTTTTAGTCTTTCTCCATTGAGAATGATGTTGGCTCTTAGTTTTGCATACATACTTTTCACAATGTTGAGGAAATTTCTGTTCCAATTTTGCTGAGTGTCTTTATCAGGAAGGAGTATTGTATTTTGCCAAATGCATTTTCTGCATCAATTGCTAAGATCATATAGTTCTTCTTATTTGCTTTGTTAATATGGCAAATTACACTAATTATTTTTCTTTTGTTGAACCATCCTTGCATACTTGTTATGAATCCCACTTGGTCATAGTGAATTACTTTTTTATGTTCTTTTGGATTCTATTGGCTAGGATTTTTTTTAAGAATTTTTGCATATATATTCATGAGAGATATTGGCCTGTAGATTTCTTTCTTGGTAGTATCTTTGCCTGCTTTTTGTATTAGGATTTGCTTGCTTTATAGAATGACTCTGAGTGTATTCCTTCTTTTTCAATTTTTTTTTAAATAATTTAAGTAGAATTGTTATAGATCTCTGAATGTTCAGGAGAATTCAGCTGTGAAGTCATCTGGTCCAGGACTTTTCTTATGGGGAAGCCTTTTTATGACATCTTCAATTTCTTCTATGATTGGTCGGTTAAACTGTTCTATATCTGTCCTTGTAAATCTGGGTAGGGCATGAATTTCAAGGAGTTTATCCATTTCCTCTAGGTTTTCAAATATATCAGAGTAAAGCTTTTCTTATTGTTCTGAAATTATTGATTTAATTTCTCCTGGTTCTTTTGTGATGTCACCTCTGTTATTTTTTAACTACATTATCTGTGTCTTCTCTTCAACAAATGATGCTGGCAAAACTGGATTGTTAACTGCAGAAAGCTGAAACAGGATCCACATCTCATACTATACACAAATCTCAAGGTGGAAGAGAAAGTCCAAAACCATAATGTTCATAAGAGACAAACTGGAATCAAGCTTAGAAGGCCTAGTCTATGGTAGAAAGAGACTGCCAAGTACAGCCAAAAATGCACAATCTGAAGATCAGAAAATTGATGAATTCGACCTTCTAAAGATTAAATCCCTGTGCACATCAAAAACTTTTTCAACAAGGTGAAAAGAAAACTTATCAATTGGGCATAAACATTTGGCAATACCATCTCAGATATGAATCTCATAATCAAAGTTTACAGAATACTTCTGGGCCTCCACAAGAAAAAGTCCAATAATCACAAAAAGGGCAAAAGACATGGAAAGAATTTTCACAGAAGAAAATATTCAAATGGCCATCAGAAACATAAAAAAATACTCCAAACCATTGGCAATAAGAGAGAGACAATTCAAAACCACAATGAGATACCATCTCACTCCAGTTTAGCGGGTTGGCAAGTAATAAATGTTGGAGAGGATGTGGCAAGATAGGAACTCTTATACAGTGTTGGTGGGATTGTAAAATGGTACAACCATTCTGGAAGCAGATTGTTACTTCCTCAAAAAAGCTGGAGAGAGAAATTTCATATGACCCAGTTATTCCACTGCTTGGAATATACCCTGAGGAAATGATAACTGAGGCACAAATGGAGACTTGTACACACAAATATTCATAGTAGCATTATTCACCATCACAAGAACATGGAAACAGCCTAAACGTCCAACCACAATCGAATAGATTGAAAAATTATGGTGAATTCACACAATGGAATACTGCACAGCATGTCAGAGCAATGATTTTATAAATTACTACCTAACTTAGGAGGAACTGGAAAACATTGTGCTAAACTGATTTGGATCTATAAGGACAAATACTGTATCAAATCATTATTGTAGAATGAGTATGAAAATTCAAGGGGGGAGGATAGAAGCACAAGGATGAGAATGAGCGGGGGTTGGGATGTTCATAGGATCACACAATTTGATAAATGGAGGGGGGGTGGGTGAAGCAAATGGTGGAAAAATGTATATGAACTTTGTAAATAAATCATTATTATAAAAAAAGTACTCATCTGAGGGGAAAGGATATAAATAACAAAAAAAGGAGTGCTACCAGCAACTCATTATAACTCAAACAGCAGAAAAATGATCACCTCTTTTATAGTAATTTTCAATGAACCACTAGCTAGCTTTGGCAAAAGGCATAGTGAACAGGTAATCATTTGGAAGTGCACAGGAATTATACCACATAAAGCACTACTATAATTTAAAAAAAAACTTAGTTTGAGCAGTGACTTAAGTAAAGGTTAATGTACAGTATTATACCTTATCAGTTTGTTTATAGAGTTATAAATACATTAATACACCTTGCATCTTTGTATCTTCTTACACTTTAGAATGTGCTTACATATTCCCTCATCCTTCTTAAATTTGTAGTCCAGAATCACTTACCGAAATAGGCAGAATGGCCATTTTGATTTCTAGTTTAATTTGCTACACATAATGTTCCTTTTATTTGATATAATAAGATCTGAATTAAAACTAAAATCTAATGCAAACAATAACAACTGTAGCAAAGTTATATTTCTACTTAGAATTGCTATTTGTATCAAGCGGTGTATGATGAAAAAATATATTTTATTAAATGCTGTCATGCAAACTAAAATGAAAGCACCTCTATTCAAGAAAGGTACAAGACAGGTATTATTTAAAATGCTTTAGTACTCAATTTTCAATAAAAAGAAATCTGGCATTATAAAAATACATAAAATAGTCATGGAATTTGTACCATTAATTTACATAAGATTTTTTTACATAAAACAGAGTTATAAAATAGTTTAAAATGATCTTCTTATATGAAAGTTATTTCCTGTATAAAATTTTTTATAACTTTTTTTGTAATTTTGGTTCATCTGTATAAATAAGGCAGTTTGTCCTTTTAAAATTCATAGCTCTATTTAAAAACATAGGATTCTCTCTCTTAAATAAAATCCACTTGAGGTAGTATGTTAGAATAGTTCTTTAGTTCCATTCATTCTATGTATCCAAGTCACAAGACCGAAAATTTGGAGTCCTATAGTTTTCAAAGGTTTGTTTATAAGAACATGTATGATTTTCATCCTGAAAATCTGTCCTTTCCAATTTTCCATCTTCCTCAGGCTCCAAGTCCAAGTCCAGGGTCTCAGGAGTCTTTGTGTGAAGAGTTCTTGGCTGACAATCTGACTGATGTCCACAGCTAGCAAAGGCATCCAGGTATGGTCTTCTCAGAGGCTTTCCAAATGTACCTGAAAGAAAGAAATGCCTTGAGTGGACTGGCCCTTTTCTAGCATATGAATCAAGACACATTTCAGGTTAGCACTATCTTACACATTACACACATTGTTACTATAAACTGAAATAAGCATTTTATAGAAGTTCAATGATGGGCGGGGGGGGGGGGAAGTGTTGCTGAGTTGATTTTTACTCATGGCAAGTCCATACAGTTAAGAGTATAGCTGTGCTTGACAGCTTTTCAATGGCTGATTTCTCAGAAGTCAATCTCCAGACCTCTCTTGGAGGCGACCTCTGGGTAGATTCCACCGGTCAACCTCCTGGTTAGCAGCTGGTGCTCTGGTGCTTAACTGCTTCCACCCAAAGACTGAGGCTTGAGTTTTACTTATGGGTGGAGCTGAGGATATTAACATTCTGTTTTACATCATGGAATAAATTAAAACCTCTTTAAACTTTTGAGCAAAAAATTGCTCAATTTCCTCTAATTTCTAGCTTTAGTACTTGTGAGCTCTTAATTCTTCATGAAGAATATTTGAATAGTAACATATAAGTTAATATATAGAAATCTCTTTAAAAGAATCCTCAGGTCATGGTTTGATTCCATTGGCTCCTTGGGAAAAAGATGAGCAATTACCTCCCTGTGAATTCACAATTTCAGAAACTTGGAGTACCAGCTATGAGTTTGTGTTGTGACTGCAGAGCAATGATCTTGACCTTTTGTTACTATTTCTTACAATTTTTCTACTTTAACTTTCACTCACTCATGTTCATTGTCACTAAATAAATTCCCACTCACAGTGATCCTGCAAGGTTTCAGATGTTGTAAGTCTTTATGCGAGGAAACTGCTTAACTTGCTCCAAAGGAGACTGAGGGATTCTAACCACTGAAGACAGGCAGCCTGTCTGTCATTAATAGTGCAATACACTGCCGAGTGTGCCACCAGAGTTCCTTCATTTTTAACAAATTATTATTCAATTGACTCCAATTCTTGCCTCAGTGATATAATACATGTTGTTGTTATGTGCCATCAAGTCATTTTTGACTCATAGCGATCCTATGCACCATAACTCTAACCTGGCCCAAACTCACTATCTCTGACACACCTACCCTCCCTCATTACTCCAGTTACTGTTTCAATTCATCTCACCCTGGGTCTTTCTCTCCTGCACTGTCCCCTCCACCTTTCCAAGCATGATGACCTTCTCCTAGGTCTGGTCCCAAGCCCAAAGTACGTGAGATGGAGTCTCAAAATCCTTGCCTCCAAGGAACAGCTTGACTTCACCCTTTCCAGAACAGACCTATTAGTTCTCTCAGCAGTCAGTCATTTTCTCCAGCATCATAACTCAAAGGCATAAATTCTTTTCCTGTCATTTTTTGTCATTGTCCATCTCTCTGAAATTGTTGTTGTCATGTGCCGTCGAGTCGTTTGTGACTCATAGCGACCCTATGTACAACAGCCCTAAACCGTGCTCTATCCCCTGCCAATCTCATTGCCTCTGACACACCCATCCCGAGTGCCCCAGTCACTGAATCAATCCACCTCATAGAGGGTCTTCCCCTCCTGCGCTGTCCCTCTACTCTACCCAGCATGATGTCCCTCTCTAAAGACCTGTCTCTCCTTACAACATGTCCAAAGTATGTCAGACGAAGCCCCAGAATCCTTGCCTCCAAGGAGCAGCCTGGTTTAATCCTCTCTACAATGAATCTGTTTGTTTTCTTGGCAGTCCGTGGTACATTCAATACTCTTCTCCAGCACCACAGGTCAAAGGCATCAATTCTCCTTCTATCTCCTTAGTCATTGTCCAACTCTCTGATGCATAACAAGTGATTGCAAAAACCATGGCCTGTATCAGGCGGACCTTAGTCTCCAGAGAGACACTGTTGCTCTAGAGTATTTTGGAGAGGTCCCTAACCGCAGACTTTCCCATCGCAATATGTTTTTTGATTTCCTGGCTACTGGTGCCAAGATTGTTGACCGTGGAGCTGAGCAAACTAAAGCTGTGAATAATCTCAATCTCTTTGCCATCCATCATGATGCTGCCGATTAGTCCAGTGGTGGAATTTTTGTCTTCTTGACATTGAGCCTCAGTCCATATTGAAGGCTGCAGTCCTTTACCCTCTGCAGTAAGTGCATGAGGTTCTCCTCAGTTTCAGCGAGCAAGGCTGTGTCATCTGCATAACGCAGATTGTTGATAGATCGTCCACCAATCCTAATACCACTCTACCCTCTCTGATATACAACATATAATTGTGAAGACCACAACATGGATCAGGCACATCTTAGTCTCTAGTTTGGCATCATTGCTCTCTAGCACTCTGGAGAGGTCCCTGACAGCAGATATTCCTAACGCAATTTGTCTTTTTATTTTCTGATTGTTGATGCCAAGAGTGTTGACTGTGGAACCAAGCAAGCTGAAACTGTTCTCAATCTCTTCTCCATCTGTCACGATGCTGCCAACTGGACTAGTGGTGAGAATCCTTGCTTTCTTGACACTGAGCTTCAATCCACACCACAGACTACAGTCTTTGACCTTCTGCAGCAAATACATATTCTCTTTTTAAAAAAAATGCAGTGAAGTTTATTGCTAGGGAAACATTAAGTTTCTGTTACGAGTGATGGAAAAATTTAGAAATAGATAATGATCATGGTTGAACAAAATTATAAATATAACTAATTACTGCCAATACTGTGCATGTGAGTAACGCTGAAATGGCAAGTGCTTTGTTACATACTTATTTTCCACAAAAAAGGAATATAAATAATTATACCCTGACATAACATCAAATTTCTTACAAGCTGGGCAAAATATTTTTAAATTCAGCTTTTTCTTTTAAACAAGACAAGACGTGGCTGATTTTTTTTATCTGCATTTAATGAAAAGATGATCTCAGAACTTCAATCTCCTATTCCCATGAACTAAATAAAAAAGCTTACACTCTGATCCTGGTGCCAGTCAGTGTCCAATACCAACGTGGGCTTTCAGGCTCTGACGGCCTCCTTGCCAGACTCCCTCTAGTAGTCCAACTTGTCTGACTTGCAATTGTTGCTAGGTAGGTTGCTGTGTCCCACCCTTGTGCTGTGGGTGCAGTTATAAGCCACCAGACATCCCAAACCACAATCATGCAGCACATACAACTCCACCCCAAAGGCTGTTGTAGTCCAAAACCACTTTTTCCACATGGCTGACAAGCTGTGCTCTTAAGTCATTCCCAAACTCTTGCTCTAGACTCTACCACACACAGTGTTCCTCAGAAAGCTCCTACGGCTGTCTCAGTTATGGATTAAATGCATAATCAAGGAAAATCAATCCCACCTCTGACTTTGCTTTTAGAAACATTTATACAAACTAATAAGATGTCATGATTGCAGCATGGGGGTGGGGGGAAGAAAGACTGATGAGTTTGGCATCCAAAGCCCTTGCTGCTTGGCTATATGTTAGTTGGGGTATGGCTGCCTCCTATGTAAAAGTATCTAATAATTTAATGAACTTACCCAGAAAAGAGTTACTCGAAGTAACTGAGGCTGGTTCTGAATTCGATCCAAACTCTACAGAAGCCTTATTGAGACATACGTTTTTCATCCCAGGTCCCTCATGGTAAGAGTAAGAAGAGTTCATCAGTTTCCTCAGGTGAGATGGTGGCGGCCCCACGTTGCTGATGCTGCGATCACAGACCTCCTCTGCAGGGTGGGGGCAGGGAGAGCACTCCTTTTTCTTTAGGTAACTGGGATCATAGTGGTCCATTAAAGATGTCCTTGGATCAGGACTGCAACCTTTGAAATTCCAGGAACATGAGAGAGAGAGAGAGAAAGAAGGAATCAGCACTTCTAGGAGTCCCTCCAGGCAATAGCCCTCATGTGAGAACACCATTTACCTGTGTGACAGGCATCAAAGGGGTCCAAGCCATACACACTCCCCTTCAAGTACACAGGTCCCGTGGCTCCCAGAAAGGGGCAGAAAAATGGATCTGTGGTGGCCTCCACGTCAGCTTCACTGCTGTTGTCAGCGTGACAAGTACCTTTAAAACAGAATCTTAGTCACATAGCCATTCAGAACCACGCAACATTCTCTGTGATTCTCGAATTTCTATACCTACAGAAAAAAGTTTTAGGTTGGCATTGTTGTTGTTGTTGTTAAGTGCCATCGAGTCATAGGCAACTCATAGCGACGCTATGAACAAAAGTCCTGGACGCCAGTGTAACTTTCGTCCTTTCTCCAGGTTCACAGGGTTTCCAGAGGCAAGCTATTATGGTTGGCATTACACAAAATATATGCCGAAGCATACTGTTTTTTTCTAAGTATTTTATAACATAGGGTTAGGATTAGTTAGGATTGGCATTTTAACCTACCCCGAGGTACCTGGAAGAAAGGCCTGGTAATCAGATTACAAAAGGTAAAGCCTTAGAAACCTTTCTATGGAGTGATGCTCTCCTTTGACACACAAAGGGTCACAAAGAATTTTCATCAACTAGGAGTGTCAGAGTCAGTGAGACTGGCTCAGGACAGGGCAGGCTTCAGAGCTGCTGTACAGAGGGCTGCTATGCGTTGAGGGCAAACTGACAGCACAAAACAGCAGCAGCAACTGCTTTGAATTTTTAAACTGTGTTCTTTTTTGAGGCTCATGGAGTGCCTGAATGGCACAAATAGTCAAGCATTAGGCCATTAACATGTTGCAGCACACCTTTAAATTGATGACCGTGCTTAGAAACACATCCCCCCCCCCGCTATAGCCATCATTTGCGGCAACGTGTTAGCGGAAAAGTTTCCAGTATGAACCTACCAAGGGATATATCAAAGGAAGGCACAGTGACCAGCTTCAGAAAGGTCACAGCCATGGCACCTGTATGGAGCAGCTTTATACTGTAATACACGTGGTCTGCCACAAGTCAGAATTGGCTTAACAGCAAGTGGTGGGGATGAGGATGGATTAATAATTACATTTGTGATATCTCTTTGTGACTGGATCTCTTTGCCTTGTTACCAGCACCTCTTTCTCTTTTGAAGAGAAACTGACCTGCCATGAATCCTTCAGCCAAAATCAGCCAGGGTTGGAACCAAAGGATTCCATCAACATTGCCCCATCTTCTAAAAGGTCACAGACAAGCAGCACCAGTGTGGTCAAGGACCTCTTACTGTACAGCTCAATGATAAGCTGTCAAATAAAGCCTTCCTCTTAAGTATGAGCTAAATAACACAAAAGAATGCTAGAGCTAGTAGGGTAGTATAAATGATCAGTGGGATTGGCTAGTTAATGGAAAGTTTAGAGGTTCAAGTCTACCCAGAGGCACTTGGAAGACAGACTTGGTGGTCTACTTATAAAAGATCATAGCTGCTGGAAATCATCTGGGGCACACTTGGATACTGATATATATGACACTGACATGAGTCAGGTAGACTTGACAGGAAGTGGCTTTTCTAATGGGCACAGCAGTTGAAAAAGCAGGTAATATGAGCAAGGTTAAGGATGATGAACCACATGTCTGTAAAGCAGAAAGCAAAAGAGTTGGAGGATCAGAGGCAATTTTGCAGAGTATGGATCTGTAGAGCCGTGGCCTCTTGAATTGCTGAGTGAGGCCACCTCCAGTCCCAGCAACCAGGCAACTTAGCAACTTTGTATCCCAGTCGTCCTCTGAGTCTTTGGTCTTTCCTATATGTCACACTATATTTGAGCAACAAGAGGTCTGGGGGCTCAGTGATAAGGATCTGTGCTACCAACACAAAGGTACACAACTCAAATCCACCAGCTTCTCTGCAGGAGAAAGACGGACAATCTTATTCCATGCAATTTACAGCCTCTGATATCTGCTGGAGGGTCAGTTTTGAACTAGTTCTGACTCAACGGTATGTATCTTTGTACCAAATGAGCCTAACCTTGGTCTTTGCTTTGATTTCCAGCACTTCTTTCTCAGTGCTATACCTTCTTTTTTTTTTTTTCAGTTTAAAAACAAAGCCTTAATTCCATTTTAATGTTTTGACATGAGTTTGGATTTTTTTTTTAATTTAGGTTGTTTATTTTTCATTTCAATGAGTGCTATACCTTCTATAACCTCTCTGCAGGCACTCCATCTGCCCACTATCACAGGCATACCTTGTTTTATTATTTACTTTCCTGAGCTACACATAGCACATCCTTTTTTAATACATTGTAGGTTATGGCGACTTGGTACTGAGCAACTCTAACAGCATCTTTTTTACCAACATGTCTTATCACTTCATGTCTTTCTATCACACTTTAGTAATTCCTGCAATATCTAACCTTTTCTTATTGCTGCTGCACTGATGAAGATGGCTCAGAAGAAGGCAGGGTTCAGATCTACTGTTTATTGAGTTCTTATGAGTTGTAGTCAACACAATGGCACCTAATGGCAACAACTTCACTCTTGATAAACTATTCAAACTGAGCTCACTCCCATAGAGTTGGATCCAACTCACTGCAACCCTCCATTGAGTTTCTAACACTGGAGATGTTTACTGGAGAAAATGGTACTTCCTTTGTTCCAAGACTGGCTGGTGGATTTGAATTTAGAACTTGCCAACCCTTTGGTTAGAAGCTTAAAGTGCTATGCGCTACACTATCAAGTGCTTCTTAACATACTACAATATGATGTAAACAATTTTACATGCAGTGAGAAATCAAAAACAATTCATTTGCTTTACTGCGATGGTCTAAAACCAAAGCTGCAAGATTGTCTAATTTATCTGTACTAGAAAACTTCAGAACCTAGAGAAGTTCAATAAACTTTCATGGGGAAACAACTGTAAACTATTGGAAAACAATATTCAAAACCTCTAATTATTGCATTAATTATTGAAAACAATATTAGTAACTTTCATTTCTTGAGTTCTTAACAATGCTACTTTTGTACTTTTTTAATATATAAAAGTATATATTGTACTTTTATGTTTTCCTATCACGTCATTTTCACAACCATGAACTAGTAAGATGAGCACTATAATTATCCCCATTTTACAGAATGGAAAAATGAGGAGGCTTAGAGAGTTTATGTAACTTGCCCAAGGCTACACAGGGAGTATGTGACAGAAGTGTGTCTTAAATCAAGTCTGTGCTTTATTATTAATCTTTCTTTAGCAACAGTCAGCATTTGCATTCTTCACGATTTTAAAATTATAGGCCTTTGAAGACCATGTGTGAAACCAGTCAATATCATTGAAGCAATGAAAACAAAACAAAAAAAACCTAAATAGAAAGTAAAAGTAACTTATATGGAAGAATTAAAATTTACCTAGTCTACTTGTCAGAAACACTTTTCTAGTACTTAATAGTATATAACTACACAGACACAGTTTTAGTTTTGTTAGTAACTTTGGACCATGGTCTAAGTATCAGTGTATCCACACATCCCTTAACAAAAAGAATTCTATACTGGAGCCTTTCATCATGATTTCAAAACACTCAAAGTCCATGTTTACTTTAAACACTTACCATTACTATCATGTTGCGCTAAGAAATAGCCACCTCCTGACGAAGTGACGAACTGGTGGTGGCTTCCACTTTCTGAGGAGACATACCCGTCTTGCCTGTCAGCCAACGTCCCCTGGGACGACAAATAACTCGGGATGTCTGCTGGCAAGTTGGTCTCATCTATAATCAAACAACAATGTTTCATTAACTGAGAATGACTGCTCTTGCCCCACAGCTGTCCCTGACGAACTGTACATTCTGGTCTGGCTTCTGCACAAATCAAAAGGGAAAACCTGCTACAATAAAATGATCCTGGCAGCCTCAGATGAAAGGAATCAGGGTTTTCTTCTGGAAAGCATGAGCTAATACCTACTTATCCCACCACTAGGTGCCCCTCTCAAATTTGCCAAAAAGCAAATGTTTTAAAATTTGGGGGAAAACTAAGAAAAGAGTGGCTAAATAATGAACACTACATTAGAATAGATGAAGGAAAGAACTATTTTAAATGAATATATGACTAGGTATTCTTTGCATGGCAACAGTCCAGAATAAGAGGTGCACAACAAAGTGGACTGGGGGAGGGGAGAGGCAGGGAGGAAATTATTCAACAATAAAGGAATTTTTGTTTTTTAAAGTAAACTGAGTGGGTAGGGAGGAAAATGAGCAGCAATGAATGAACATCCAACTTTTCTATAAACTTTCATTAATATCACAGTAAAAATAAGCAAACAACAAAAACAAAAATGGTCAGGTTTTAAGAATTTTTAGGCATAAGCAAGCAGCCCTGGTAGCAGAATAATGAAGCACTCAGCTGCTCACTGAAAAGTCGACAGCTTGAATCTACCTAGTATATCCTTGGGAAAAAGACCTGGCAATCTGCTACCATAAAGATTACTGCCAAGAAAAGTCTATGGAAAAGTTCTGCAATGTCACCTGGATTGCCAGAATGGACTCAACCGCCCACAACTTTAGCAGTATCTCAGGTCTTGAATCGCACTGGATTCTGCAATCCACTTTGTTCAATATTATTGATAAATATGAGTTTGCACATATGTACATATTAATCAAATTTTAAAATCTTTCCCTTTGAGGATTATTAACCAGCTACTCTATGGGAGAAAGAAAACTTTGCCTCTGAAAATCTCCGTGGAGGGTCAGCCAAGACTCAGTTAGTACATACCATTATCTCCATTACCAGCACCACCTGGGTGTGTGTACATACACACACACACACTCTCTCACTCACTCTCACTCTCTCTCTCTCTCTCTCTCTCTCTCACGCACACACACACATAAAAACAAAGAACTGCCGCAGGGAGGACCTCTCCTCACTGAAGAGGCTGTCCTGGTTCTCCATCCTCATCTTGTGAAGGAGGTGCTTTACTTTCTGATTTGGACTGTACCTCACTGCCCATGCGATAGTCCAATAAGGTTTTAAAGAGTATTCATTTTTAAACACTGGGCTTTGGGCTCAGAGTATTATTTTTAACCAACCCGATTACTGCAGCTTGAACTAAATGAGTCACACTCCTAACATCAACCCAGCCAGCCAGACATACATTCTGGAAGGAAACTGCTGCCGAACCACAAGCACGCATGGAGACTGCACCTGTGCCAAGCGTCTGTTTACACACCTGTGTTGGTAATGCTACAGTCTTCGTTCCTCCGCCTTGTGTGGTATATGATGACCACCCACACAAGGGATGTGCCCACCACACAGCAGACCACCGCTATGATGACGACTCCCACGGTGGCCCACCCATCATCGTCCAAGGATGGGGCCGTCATCTGTGGGGAGTCGCAGGTCGGAGTTGGGATGACACTGAGGCGCACATTGCCCCTCTCAGTTCCAAGGGTGTTGGACATTTCACACGTGTACTTTCCGGCATCACTGACATCCGAGTCTACAATAATCAGGAGCTGATTGCCTGCTGCAAAAAAGTGCCTCTCAGTGACCATCAAAGGGCTGTCGTCTTTGGTCCAGTTGAGTCTGGGAGGAGGGCTACCTCCAGCAATACACTGCAGGACGGCTGTTTCTCCCTTGGTAACAGTTCGGTCTAAGAGAGGTCGCAAAAATGATGGTGTTTCTGAAACAATATTTTTGTTTAAATTGTTAAGTAAGTATACAGCAACATATTCACCATCTTAACACTCTACCATTCTGCAGGTACAGAATAACATTATTAGTATTTATCACATTGTGAACACATTATATTTTTAATTCCCTAAATGAAGAGCACAAAGGATTTGCACTCATGTACAAACTGAAAGATTAGCAGTTCAAACACACCCAAAGCATCTTAGAAGAAAGACTCAAGAGATCTGCTCACATGAACATTATAAGAAAACCCAAGAGGCAATCCAGCTCTGTGACACACGGGGTTACTATTTCTTGGGAGCTGACTGAAATAGGTCTAACTGAAATGATAGCTCAACATCATCAGAGTCCTACAATACCTGTCCTTCCATAAATAAATGAGTGTGGAGTTGGGATTTCATTATTCTGTTGCTATTCATTTACCCCTAACACCAGTGGAGGAGGATACTGTTTTTATTACCTATCCCCCTCTACTTCTCTTGCCAAGGTTAGGTACTTGGGAGTGGGACAGTAAAATACAAAATTTTAGGTATTACTTAAAATCAGAAAATGTACAAAGCTAATTTTATTCATACCAGTATTGTGGATGTATTTTTAAAAAAAAATCAAAACTAACATCTCTATACTGGAACATTCTATCTACTACCATAGGCCCAGGCTATAAAGTTCCAAAAAGAAATTACTTTCATTATCTAAAGTCTTCATGTTATTTTTACATGCCCTTGAGCCCGAAATAACTTAGAGCAGGTCCTCCAGTGAGTTTTCAGAGGCTAAAAATAGCACAAGAGAAGACTGCCCATCTTCCTCTGGAGCAGTTTGTGGGTTTGAGCTGCTGGCCTTTGAAATGGCAGCACAATTCCTTGCTCACTAGGCCATCAGAGCTCCCTAAAGTCTTAATGTTGTTGTATGCCATTGAGTCAGAACCAATGCATAGCTGACCTTAGTAGAACATTAAAAAACATTTTTTTAAAAGGGTAGAGCAAAGGTCCACATAAAAGTACATTATTCACACCCACCCAAGGTTTGATGACTGCTTTCTGTTAAGATTCCAACCAACAACACTCTATGGAGCAGTTCTATAGTGACACGTGAGATTTCTATGAGTCAGAAACAATTAAATGGCAATTTTTAAAAATGGTAGGCCAAGTAAAAAGAACAAATCCTTCCCAATGTGGTTCCACTATTATGCTCCTATATGCTCTTTTATCACATGAACAGTATTTTTGCAGACTGTGTCATGTGGAGAAGTAATAGTTACCCCTGAACAAAGGGAAGCGTCAAAAAAGTGGAAGTCTCTTTTCCTTGTCCCCTTTCATCAAGTAGAGGAGATTCATTCATTTACACAGACTTTAACATGGAACATACTCCCTAACTCCCAAGCTTATAAGAAGCCCTTTATTTTCTCTAGGAAAGAGCAATGTCCTGGAGATCATCCCTCACACCTGGTGGTGCAGAGGGCATTTGGGTCAGTGAGTGTCATTAAGACTGATTCACTTACCCAAGACAGTCAGAGTTGCATTTGCAGAAATACTGCCTGCACTGTTTTGAGCTGTACAGCTATAAACCCCAATGTCTTCTATTTTCACGTCCACAATAAAGAACACGTCGTCTTCTGGCATCACGTGCATGCGCCGCTCCCTGGCGGCAGGGAAGTCCGTGCCCCCGTCCTTCTGCCAGGCGATCTGAGGGGCTGGGTGCCCCACCGCAGCACATTCCAGGCGAGCCATGGCACCAGCACGGATGGTGAGGTCCATAGGCATCTTGGTGAATGAAGGAAGCACTGCAATCAAAGAAGTAAGGAGTTAATGCAACAGATCATCAAAGGCTCAGTTTTAGTCCTTTCTTAAGAAAAAAAAATTACTACAGTATGGTAAGGTTAGTTATTTCTCATTTAAGAACAATGCAACCTGAGTGATGGAGAGCGTCCTCATCAAGTTTTACAGCCAGCAGAACTGAGAGTCAGGATGACTCCTAACTCCCGAGACATGAGGATCCCAGATTTGAGGCCCTTCCACACCTTTCAGGTCATTTTTTTGTTCCTTTGCTCATTAACTGAAGATCTCAGGCAAATCGCTCACTCCATGATTTTTTTTTTCTTAAGGGTTTTGTTTTGGTTTTTTTAGTTCTTTCCCCTCTAATAGGAAACGTAGGTTGTGCAGTCTTAAGGGAGTAGTGCTACAACCCAAAGGTGGGACCTCTCTGGAAGTTTGAATCCACCATAATTCTCTGTGAGAAAAAGATTGGCAATCTCCTCTCCTACCATATATAAACTCCAAGAACTGTTGGAGTGTCAGGTACAAGTTAGTTCTGATTCAACAGTCAAGAGCTGAGTTTCCCCTCTGAAACCCAAAGACACTAGATGTGTATTTTGCCCCATGATTTTACATTCAAAACTGTGCCAAGACTCGGCAATTATTTGTTGAGTTCATGAATGAACTTCTCCAAAATCTCAGATCCTGGCAAAGACAGATGACTAAATGCTAATGCACTGGCAGTCCCTGGGTTTTCAATGAGATTCGTTTCCGTGTATTTAATAATTTGTAGCTAAGTCAGACAGAGTACATGTGGTTCTTATTCCCAGCCTTATTTTAGTGCAAAAATAAGCTCAAAGACTTTGCAATGTTTTAAAAGATGTACATGCAGCAAGTCCAGGTGACTGTGATGAAGACTTTGTTGCAAGGTGGAGCTGGTTCAATCATTTCAAAGGGGGAACAAATCTACATAAAATTAAAGGACTCTAAGTCCAAAGGGCTATTGTCTGTAAGTCCAACATCTGTTAACTGAGGACAGTCTGTGGTAAAAGTTCCTTTGTAAAGCAAATGATGATAGACTTTCCCTAATATTTGTTACCACTGATTTCATCCTATAGGACATATTAGAATTATCCCATTGGGATTCCTAGGCTAATCATTGTGGAAGCAGACTCCTGAGTTTTTTCTAGTGGAGAACCTCTCATGGGTCTGAGCCATTGAGTGTTGGGTTAGCATCTGTGTGTTTTAGCCTTTGTATTACCAGGGCTCCTCTTATTAACATTAGATAACATCTACTGATTATTACTGTACTCTAGGTATCCTTCTAAATCCTTCACACACATTATCAGATGCTCATAATAACCCTATGAAGATATTATTCTTTTTACAGTTAGAAAGATGTAGACATGGAGGTGCTGAGATAGAAGCAATTTGCTGAGAGTAACAGAGCTATAAGCAGGACTGATAGGATTCAAAACCAGATCTCTGAATTAAAGGTAGTGAGCTTTTAAGAAGAATCCTCATAGCATCCTACCTCTCACCCCAACACCTCCAGTCCCAGCATGAGGCTGTATACCACTGTCCAGTTGAGTCTGGTTCAAAGCAGTGATCCATTGGGTTTCTGGAGCTATTTATTTGGGAAAAATTTTCCCATTTTTTATTCATGGAGCCACTGGTGGATTTGAACTGTCAACTTTTTGGTTAGAAGCCCAGAGTGTCACATTACAAACTCCCACACCGTAAAACTTGTCTGCTTCATCACTGTGCTGTATGTGAGGTTGAGCTCTTGTTTTCAACATAATAATGGCTTACTTAGATTCAGATGGCTAAGAATCTTAATTTTGTGGAGCAGGAGGTGGGGAAAGAGAAAGGTTGAGAAATAAGAGCTAAGTGGAGAGAGGGTAGGAAGGAAGAAAACCAAATGCTATCACTAAAAATTTTCTCTAAATGCAAACAGAAAAGTCAGATCACATACTATTTACGGTAAGCTTGGCTTTCACAGAATAGGATGAACCAAAGTGATTGGAAATGACACACTGATATTTCCCTTCACTGGTAAATTCCACGTTGCGCAGCCGAAGAATGGTGGTGTACTCCATCACCTCGCCAACGTGGGCCCGGAGGTGTGCATAATTTTCCATTTCAGCATCGTGCAGTAGTTCATTGTCTTTTTTCCAAGCAAAAGTCATCGGGGAATCACTGCTACTGGCAGCCGAGCAGATAAAACTCAAATTGGAACCTTTTATTGCCGACTGTGTTTCTGGCTGAACTGTGATCTGGGGTTTTGGAAAATCATCTGTTCAAAGGAGAGGGAAGGAGAGAAAAACAATGTTAAGGCTCAAAAGTCCAAATGCTGCTCAAATGTGGACACAAAGAAACTCAAAACAAACAACAGCTTAGGTTTTACCCTTTGTGTATGTTTTACAGATGGACTAGCTGCCTTGCTATTGAAATGATACCACAGGAGGGTATGCTGGTAAAGCAATTCATTCATTTAACATAAATACTGAGACCTACTTATCAACTAGGGTTACCTGAGAGGAGACTGTCAAACACTTGAGGCAACTGATTAGGAAACTTCCAGCCTTCTGTATCACCTTTGACTCTTACCTTAAAGAACTTCTATTTGCAGTATATTCTCCAAAAAGAAAATGAAAAACCAAACCAGCTGCTGTCACTTTGACTCTGACTCATGGCGACCTCATGATAATTCAGAGAAAACTATGCCACTCAGGGTTTTCAATAGCTGTCAATGAGGACTAAATAGCCAGGCCTTTCTTCTTAGTCACCTCTGGATAGACCTGACTTGCCAATTTTGGGGTTACCAGCTGAGAGTTTTAACTATTTGCAACCAGAGATTCCTTCACAAATAAAGAACAGCCAAATAAAAAATCTAATGCTGTTAATCATTATCACTAAATACAGTTGTTTTCTTTTTGATTGCTGTTGAGTCTGAATTAGCTAACTTTCAAGTGGGTTTTCGGAGGCTGTAAATTGCAAGCAAGAAGACTGCCCAGCAATCTCCCTTCCCACTGGTGGATACAACCAGCCAGAGGTGTAGTCTTTGCCTTAGCAATGCAATTACCAACAACTACACCATCAAAAGTCCCTAAAAAAGGCCATTAATTGGGAAAAAGAATCTTTATAGGAATCCCATTCTGATAATATCACTAATCAGAAAGAGACTTTTTTTTTTACTTGACCAAACTAAATAATCTTAAGCAAGACTACTTGAAGAATGGTAGTTTAGGTAGGGGAAAACAAACAAAAACTTGGAGCAAAATAAAAGTTTATCTCCAAAACCGTGAGAAGATGGCTCTGGACTAGAGTCTGAGTAACCAATCAATCAAATTGCTGCACTATATCCTCAGAGCTACATTATAATTAGAGCTAAGCAACTATTTCATTGGAAGTAGTTATTTTTGGTTCTCTGTTACTGTTTCAAAAAGTTACCTTTTGAACTTCCTTTCCTCAGAGGCAGTCTGAACCCATAAAGAAACATTTAGACCTCCCAAAATAACGTGTGTGTGTGTGTGTGTGTGTGTGTGTGTGTGTGAGAGAGAGAGAGAGAGAGAGAGAGAGAGAGAGAGAGGAAGAGAGGAAGAGAGGGAAGGAGAGAGGTGGGAGAGAGAACACAAACTGGTAGTAGTGTTGTTGGGGGGAGGCTCCAATAACTAATGCTGCTAATTTTCAATGCCATGCTTAAATACTGTAATCAAGATAGTTTCTTTTTATGTACAATTATTCTAAAATTCTCATCCAGGGAATCAATGTTCTGATTCACAGGGGAGAAAGTGAAAATTTATGGATGCCGCAGAGCCACCTCTGAGTAATAAAGACTCCATTTCTTGTGACTAGAGGATTGTGAAACAAGACAGACCATGGAAGGAAATCGTTCAGGCCCTGAAAGCCAAATGCTAAAACCTTATTCATATCCAAAAGCTACAACGGTTTTATTTCCAGAAACTACTGGCTCTGGTGAAGGTTGTAACTTAGCAAAATCAAGTTTTCTTTCACTTGACCAAACTAAACAATCCTGGGCAAAGTGGTCCTAGGTAAAATTGTAAATGCCAATGCTAAGGGAAGCTTCTGTGATATCATCATGCACATTTATTTTTACAAAGGTCTTCACAGCAGCTAATGGCAAACATCAGTGGTACGAAGTGGTCACAGACTCTGCTGGGGAGATGAACATTTATTTGCTTTATGATCCCAATCTGCTACTAAACAGTTATACAGACTTTGAATAAACAGAATCCTATGTAAACTCTGCCTGAAACTGAGAGATTCTTAAATGCTAAAATAATGTATATTATTTAGGATAGACTCAAACCTTCAATTATTTGTAATGTCCCACTTGCCAACTGCTAATTTTTTTAGCTTATACATCATTAATTAATATTCTCTTTGTAGTCCATGCAAATGGCATTTGCACAGGATTTACTTGTATCCCTTATAGAACTCATGTAGGTCCCCCAAAACTCTCTGAGTTGTGAAGAGTAAGTAGCAGAATATCCACTCCACAGACACAGAGACTGGGATTGAGGAAATTTAAATTAAATACAGAGAGGATATGTCACTATGTTGAACCCACCAGCTGTTCAATGTGAGGAACACATGGCAATCTGTGTTAACCTAAACAGCCCTGGAAATCCTATGGGGGAGGGCGTGTTCTACTTTGTCCTACAAAGTCACTAGGAGTCAGCATCAGTTAAACAGCAACATTTCTGTTGTCTTTGTTAGTTGTTAGAGAGGATGGGACTTTCCTTCAATTCTCCCAAAACCCAGCATCATTTTCTCTTCACCTGATGCCAAAACAAAGACAAAGAAAGTTTAGCAAACTTTCTTTCCTACATGTACAATTAAAACAATCTGTGCACCACAGATCCATTTTGATCTTTCTCCACAGAAACTTAACACTTATTAAGAAAACACAAATCTATTCAAAACTGTATTTGGGCAAACAGGAGGGGAGGAAGAAGAATGCGTAAAATGAAAGGGCAATAGTGACACTCACCACACACAAAGCCATCCGGGCTAACAGCAAAAATACTTCTTCCTTTTAGCAGCTGAGGATGGGCACAACTGGCATTTACAAAGCTCTGAAAGTTGTTCTCCGCCACCCACTGTGGGAGCCATTTTAGTTGGCAATCACACAAAAGGCTTGATGTATTTAAATGCCTGAGGAGAGTAATTACATTCAATTTGTTTTGTATGAAATACAGATTTTTACAAGTAAACTAAACTCAAGTAAATATTAACAGAGCGATGGATTTGGAAACCAAATACACATATCCCATGTAACTAATACTCTATCTTCTGTCTTACAAATGAGCCCTACTAGCATAATGGTGAAGCAGTGAATTGGCTGCTAATCAAGGGTCATGCGTTCAAAAGCACCAGCCTTTCAGCAGTGCCAAAGACCTGATTATCTGCTCCTGTAAAGGTCACAGGAAATCCACTGTGGCATTTATATTCAATATTATGGGTCACAATCAACATGACACCAACACAACACTGTCTTAAAATAGAAAATATGTAACAAGTATGGCAATATTATGCTACAGAAAAAGAAGTTCTTATGTGGCAAATAAAGTGAGCTGCCAATGAGTTGATGACAACTCTGGTGACCTCATGCATCACAGAAGTGTGTTCCAGAAGGTTTCTAATTTTTTTGAAGCAGATCTCCAGGTTTTTCCTCTTAGGCACCTCTCAGAGGATTCAACACGTCTTCTATTTCTGTTAGAAGTGGAACATATTAACTACAGCAGCCAGGAACTTAAGAGAATAAATAATAAGCTCCTTTTGTTTTCTGGTAGATAACTTAAGTAATAATCTAAGTATCACACTCCATGTTGGAGTTTCTCCTCCATATGTTATTTTAAAATCTTGGAAAACAAAGGAAAGCTTACAGTTGTTGAAGATTCTTCATTTGTGAAAATGCATTGCCTTGTAATGACATGATTGCATTGTTGCTCAGGTCCCTGGGGAAGAAGAAGATTAAAAAAAAAAACAACAAACAACCAAATCAAATACATCAAAATAAGATATGGCCATTGCATCCTGACGCAGAATTCAGGTCCGTATTATCCACTCTATTCACCCAACAGTCTATGCTCAACGTGCATGAATGAGGCAAGCCCAGAAACCATTACGATGCATTTGTATCAAAGACAGATTTTCTTATGCATGAGAGAGAAGATCTATGTTCTGCTTTACTATTTTATTGTAGTTCCCAAATACCTACCATTAGTAACTTTTAAGTACACAAATAAAACTCTTCATAAAAATGCTTTTATGCATATTTATCTATCCTTAATTAACAGAGCCTCTTCTAGCATGTACGATGGGTAAAATGATTGATGTGTATTGCTGTATTTATTCCTCACAAACCCCCAAAATGTAGTACTAGTACTTTGCTAAGCTTGAAAGATGCAGATAGTATTTTAACTCCTAAAGTTAAGCTCTTGACCACTAGACTATTCTATCCCACAACTCATCACTGTAAACCCTACAAAAGTGTTTAGATAAGACGGACTTAAGACTAATAAACCAACCTTCTTCTGACAGCCCACTTGGTAATGAGAGAATATTCTAGGCTGATTTTATTTTCAACTAGTACTTACAAAAAAGTCTGAATTAAAGTACTCTGTACTGTGATGATCACAAAAGGGATTTGGATTGACACAAATGGCAACAGAAGAAAAGAATGAATTTGCTGGAATACTGCGAAAGAACAGGTTGGGAGCGTTCACATAAGTTTAGAAAAAGGAAGCAGCGTTTAATACTCCATTGATCTATTCACTAATTCCATTCTCTCAGAAATGGAGTGGACCAGACAACAGATACTTTTGGTTAGTTTTATTCTTGAAAATAATGCTTCAATTAGTACAGAATACTGATCTGTCTTTCCAAAACTGTTTTGCAGAATTATTTTACTGTTATTCTGTGCTCCTGTATTATCAGTACTACTGCAATCCACATCTCCCTCAAAGTATCATCAGAAAGCAACAGCAAAGTGGAATTTATCAATAGAAGCCAAATCTTACATTCAATACACAGCACAAACAACAAGTCAAATGTGTATTTGAAATTGTTACTTTTGTCCAAATTAATAATGAAATAAAGTATTAGGTTAGATTAACTAATTGAATAAAATGTTTTACTACAAAGAATCCTTAACTAAGTCTGAGTAGACATTCTACATTATCGGCATAGTTACAGTGTATAAGAATATACTCATGGTTATATGTAACTGGTTAGTTCCATTAGTCAAACAGGGTGCTCTTGTAGATTTTTTTTTCCCCTCCTACCATGCATTGGCCTAGTGGTAAGATCCTGCACTGTAATCCAAAAGACATGTGGTTTGGATCTACCAGATACTCTGCAAGGATAGGCAATCTCCTCATATGCAAATTGTCATTGTTGTTAGGTGTCACCAAGTTGAGTATGACCCATAGTGACCCTATGAACAACAGATCTGAACCTGGTTCTATCCTGAGCCATCCTCACCCTTGCTGACACATGAGCGCCCATGGCAGCAGTCATTGTGTCAATCCACCTGAGTGGACATGAAGAGTTTTCCTTTCCTCAGCCTCTCCAAGAATGATGTCCCTGTAGAAAGAACAGCCTCACCTAGCAACATGCCTGAAGTGTGTGAGATGAAGCTTTATCCTCTTTGCCTCTAATAAGCACTCTGGCTGCATTTTCTCTGAGACATATTTGTTTGTTCTTTTGGTAGTCCTTGGGCTATTCAGTACTCTTCTCAATAACACAGCTCAAAGATGTCAATTCTTCTAACATCGTTATTCACTGTCAAGCTCTCAGATGCATAGCAACTTGACTGGAAAGACTATGGTCTGAATCAGACATGCCTTAGTCTTCAAACTGATATTACTGCTCCTCAATAAGTTGAAGAGGTCCCTTACTACAGACTTTCCTAGTGCAATACGTCTCGTGCAATTTACTGCCTCCCAAAATCCGCTGGAGAGTCAGCTGTGGGTAAGCTCCAACTTGATGGCAAGCACAACAAGGCTGACTAGCTTTGCTCCTCTAATGGCTAAAAGTTTCTGAGTTTCTAAACTCAGTGTAGGATTTACTGCAGGTGACAACAGAGTCTTATAGGCAAGAGATTGTGTGATGCAGAACATCAAGAAAGCACACAGGCTCTGCTGGCTCTAGTCTTGCTTCTGCCAGTTGTTAACTATCCAGTGGACTTCAGTACCTCAGCTTCTTCAGTTAAAAATAAGGTTCATAATAATAATTATTAAACAGTTACCCTGTGAGGCTTAAATGAGACAATATATATGGGACATATTGGTAATCAATAAATGCTAATTCTTATCTTTTTAAAATTAAATCTATCACCATTTCAAGAATACTACTAGAAGGAAGTCTAGTAATGAGAAGGTACAATGCTCATAAATGAATTAAAGGAAAACTTATGCCCATATGCCCATATGCTTCCACAGAGATATGGGTAGATAACAGAGAGATTTCTAAATATAATTTATGGTACTGAAAAGATGTCCACAAAATTACCTCTTCTACTTTCTCTTTCATCATGCATAAATGGGCAACCAGTTTAGATATTATTGAGGTAATTCAATTCTAGCTACTTACAAGTGTTCTAATGCATCCAAACCAGTGAAGGCTTTTTTGGTGATAGATCTAATCCGGTTTCCCTGGAGCATTCTGGGAGGAACAAAAATTAAGTTAGAACAATTGATAATATTCTTTTGGGGAAAAAGGGGCATATATGCAAAAGAATACTTTTCTAAATCATTTATAAACAAGCCTGGTTTCTTTAACTAAAACCCGTAAAACATGCATCTATGTCATCTATTTCCGTTGTATAAGGTAGCATGATTTTCAAAGCATATAATAAAGAACACAGCTAATGCAAGTAATTCAAATATTACTCTGATGGTTCAATTAAATTAATAATTTTCCCAGTCTTCACTTATTGTTCCAGAGCTACAACAAATAACAGCTGTTTAGAGTGGAGTGGGTCTCTTTATTCTCCCTCACCAGGGGTACATCTATCTTCCACAGGGCTCTCGAGTGATAGAGATCTCAATTTGAGAATCAATGGTTTAAGACACATAATTTGGCTACATGTGAAGTCCTATGATAGCTAGATATAATTATGTTTTATTCTGGATACTTGGAACCTACTGCAGTATAATAAATAGAGAGTAAATCGCCTCATTTTCAATGAGTAGAAGGTAAAGCAGAAGCTTTCAAAATGTTCAAAAGGTGCCCAATACCATGATCATCCCTAAAAGTCCAAGCATCAAAATAAGTTTAAAATTATTATTGAGATGTTAAAATAGGTTAAGCAGAATGAAATGCTGATTAACATTTTCATTCAAGAAAGAAAAGCCAACTGATGGACATCTTGTCTAACCGCACTCACCTGGCAGTGGGTAGCAATCAGATAATGTCCCTATTACTATATCCGTCAGGATGCCAAAGTGTGGAACTGGTTTCTGTTAAGATACATTTAGTCTAGGTCAAAGAGGGAGCCAAATGATGCGGCAATGCACATACTCACAGCTGCCTCAGTTTGTCAAGCCCAGAGAAGGCACCATTCATGTCTTCAATAGTCCAGGAAATTTCATTGTTCTTCAGATCCCTAATTAAACAAATGAATGCTATTGAACTAGAAGTAGGTGCTTACCAACATCAAGAGCTTTCTCTCTGAAGTTATGATCATAAATCTAAGACCACTACCCTGAGAGCCTGTACTGTGTAATGAACTCCTCGTTTCCCCCTTCATCTCCTCTCTGCTCAAACAACAGAACATTTCTTACTGCTCCAATGTACCTTTGCCATGCTCCACCTCCTAACATTTTAAATATTTAATCAGAATTAGTAGAGTTGGGCAACATATGACCAATTTAATTTCCTTATCACTCACTGTCATCAAGCGAGTCGAAACTGACTTCTGGTTGACCCTCCAGCAGATTTTCAAAGCTATACAAACTGTACGACAGAAAAAGTCCCATCTTTCTCTCCGGAAGCCACTAGGAGATTCTAACCACCAGAGAAGCACAGGCTTCAGGTGAGCAGCATAGCTTCTATGAACTATACTACAAGAGCTAATTTTCTCTATCAATATGACTCAATTCTGAAAGACTTGAAAAGTCTGAAAAATACATCACCCTCTAAAGCCAGTCCCAACCACAAAGGAGGCATGTGCCAAAGCATACAGGGTGTCTTTCAATTATGTAATGCTTCAAATGGTGGGCAGGCAAAGTCTCTGACAGCGCAAAACTCAAAAGCCCATTGCACAACATTAAATTATCATTTGAGACATTGCTCACAGGTCAATTAATTCACTCTCCCCTAGGACAAGAGACCTGCTCCTGGATATATCTGGTATTACAAACAAGCGTCTTCCTTTGCTAGCCTTTGTAGATCCTTTTTCTTTGGGTGATTTTTTTTTTTGAATCTGCATTTAAACATAAGAAAAAAAATTCAGGAACATAAAATTGTTTTCTTCTCAAGCAGTTAGTGACTTCCTGAATATGCTGAGGGCACACTATAATTACCAAAACAATCCGATCACTGTCCTGTTTAATCCTTTTTAGACTCACATATGGATAAAATGGACCTATTTTAATCAAACTGATCTGGGAAAGATTAAGACACTACTTCTGAGGCTATATGCATTTCCTTCACAACAAAGGAAATGTGCTTCGAGGAAAGTGGGCACATTTAAGAGCCAATTAGGTTCATGTACAGAGAGCAAAACGTGTCACTTACAAAGTCTTTAAACTGGAAAGTCCCCGGAAGGCACAATCAGCAATGTAGCTGACTTTGTTGTTCCCAATGTGCAGTGTAGTTAGTACGCTCAGGCCAAGAAAGCTGGAATCGTCCAACCTTGATAAGTGATTGAAAGTCAGGTCCCTGTGGAGGGGGAAAAATTAATAGCTTCTATTTTTAATTCAATACGGTGATTTGGGTTCTAGAAAACAAGTCACCTGCCATGATCTGATGGCACCTGGTCTGAATCCACTAGCAACTCTGCTAGAGAAGGATCGGCAATCTCCTCCCTTGCAATTATACTGCCTCTGAAAACCCACGTGAGGATCAGCTACTAATTGGTTCTGACTTGAGGGTACATAACAACATTATTTTTAAATACTGTGCTTAAGAGATTGGTGGTGTGGTCGGTTTGCCAGCTAACAGGAAAGGGGTTCAAAACTGCAAGTTACTCCTTAGGAGAAACATGTGGCAATCTGTTTTAGTAAAGATTTACAGTCTGGGGATCTCCATCGGGCAGTATTACTCTATTCAATGGAGTCTTTGGGTTTGAGTAGACTCAGTATCAGTGTCTCTGGGCCCTCTTAACAATGCTCAGGTCAATATTATTCCTAATCCACAGAGAGTTTCAGACAATGATTCTCTGGTAGTTCAAATCCACTAGTGGCTCCAAGGGAGAAAGATGGGCAATCTCCTCTCTTTCAATTTACAGCCCTGGAAACCCAACAGAAGGTCACTGATGAGTCAGTTCATACTCAACAGCAACGGGTTTTAAGAGTAATTAAAACAAGATGCATTCTCTTTACTGAACATATCCCGGCACTGCTTCAGTCAAAGTTGCCACAGAACTGAAACGGCAGAGTGGGCTTCAACTTGCCACGACAAAAATATGACTAAGTTGCTTGTGGTGAACAAAACGAAAGAAAAAAACCTGCTGTCACCTTGGAAACTTTGTTATGAAAATTTCACAGATCAATGGTAAGAAGCTCATGCTCTGGCATGATTCCTCTCAAACCTGAGGAAAATAAAAGGCAACTCACAGCTCACTGAGTTTCTGGCAGAACTCCCAGGCATCAGGGCTGATCCTGTTGATGGCATTTTGGCTGAGATGAAGTTCCTGCAGCATCAGCAAGCCGTAAAGCCAGCCTTTGGTAATCTCTGTTAGGTTGTTATGGTCCAGCTGCCTACATTTACAACAGGAACCAACACCAGGATCAAAAGTTTATTATCACGTCTCTTCAAAGTGCACAAACAATTACAAGCTACTGCATACTCTTATCGTTACTAGACATTTTGCTCTGATTCTATGAAAACATCAGCAAAACATGCCATGGGCTTCTAAATCCTCAAGCACCATTATGCGAAACAAAATCCAATATTAAATTATAAATAGCATTCTGAATTATGACATTTGAACCCAGGATTGCAAACCAGAGTCACAAAACTTTCACGGAGCCTTCTAAGATCATACCACCTGGTAAGTGGCATGCCACACTTAGTACCAAGTGCTAAGTCACACTTACAGGACCTCCATGCTGCTTAGTCCCCAGAAAGCTCCATCCATTAGTTTTGTTACTCCATTTCTTTGCATTTTCAGAGACTTCAGAGCACCTAGCCCTTGGAATGTGAGTCCATCGACGTTTTTAATCTTGTTTCGGTTCAGTTCACTGCATTGGATATTACAGGTAAACAATTTAGAAAACAAATTTTGGAGAGAGTTATAAAATGTGACACTACTAATATATATAGTTAAAGCAGCCAGAGTTACATTAAAGAGAATGCTTCAGGTTTCTTAACATTTTTACTGAGAAAAGGTTTTCTTTTACTAGCGCTGAGTGAAGTTTTTACTCGAAATATGAGATTTACTTTTAGAACAATTAAAATGCTGAATCTTGACTGTTGTTTAATTGTGAACCTAACCAACTGGCAGCATCAGGATGGATGGTGAAGAGATTGAGATTGTTCACAGCTTTAGTTTGCTCGTCTCCACGGTCAACACTCTTGGCACCAGTAGCCAGGAAATTAAAAGGTACATTACCCTGGGAAAGTCTGATGTTAGGGACCTCTCCAAAGTACTGAAGAGCAATGGTGTCTCTCTGGAGACTAAGATGCGTCTGATACAGGCCATGGTCTTTGCAATCACTTGTTATGCATCAGAGTTGGACAATGACTAAGGAGGATAGAAATGACTAAGAAGGATAGAAGGAGGATTGATGCCTTTGAGCTGTGGTGCTGGAGAAGATTATTGAGGGTCCCATGGACTGCTAGGAGAACAAACAGATTCATCCTGGAAAGGGTTAAACTGTGCAGCTCCTTGGAGGCAAGGATTCTGAGACTCTGTCTAATATCCTTTGGACATGTAAGGAGAGGTCCTTGGAGAAGGACATTACGCTTGGGAGGGTGGAGGGACAGTGCAGGATGGGAAGGCCCTCTATGAGGTGGATTGATTCAGTGACTGGGGTAATTAGGATGGGTGTATCAGAGACTCTGCAATTGGCACAGAACAGAGTTTAGGGCTGCTATGAGTCGCTATGAGTCGCAAGCGACTTGACACGACATAACAACAACAACAGTGTTTGCTTGTTAAAAAAGTAAACTGAATTAAGCCTTGTTTTTAAACGATCCAGAATGAGAACACTAAATTGTACAATAAAATATGAGCTCTTTCCAGGAGCAGGGTCATCAAGTTCATCCCCCAAGTATAGGATCTGCCTAAAAAGTAGGCTTTTATCTTTCATGAATCTTTTTACATTGAATGTTTATTTGTTTGTTTGTTTTTCTTGAAAGAAACCTTAAAGCATAAACCTCTGGTTCACAATGGAATGATCTGGGGAGTTTTAAAAACTACTGTGGCCTGGATCCTAACCTCAGAGGTTCTAATATAATCAGCTGAGGGTGTGGTCTGGGCATTGAGATTTTAAAAGCTCCCCAACTGTCGGCAATGTGCAGCCAAGGCTGAAAATACACCATCACAGGGGCCTGTTCACAGGTCATTCCACCATTGTTAACGAGACAGTTCTTTACAGCCACTTAAGCTATCAGAGCCTCCTGGAGTTGTTGGTCTTATTCTCACAAACCACAGCTGCTGAGAGTCCCCATGATTTCTCCCACGCCACAATGGAGTCTTTGTTAGGAGGCTGTTCAGCGATTACACTGGGCACTCTTCCAATAACAGCCTAACTTGTCTTGGTGGAGCCTGTACCAGATAACTTTTAAGGTTCTTTCTTTCCAGTTCAGAGATTCTACAGCCCCAGCTCTCAAAGGCAATGAAGCCTCTTCTTTAAACTCCTCCTGCTTCAAGACGTGAGGAAATAGGTAAGAGGTATTTACTTACAGGTGCTGCAGTTGGGGGAGTTTAAACATCTTGGGTGGGATAGTCGAGAGTCGATTCCTGTTCAGCTTGAGGACCAGGAGTGTGCTGGCCAAACTGTCAAAGCAACCAGCTTCCATGGCTGTGACTCGATTGCTATTGATATACCTGTTGAAAATTTGAAAATGAGCTCCTTCCTTCTGGTCTCCTTGGAAACTCAGAGTATAGGGAGTCTCTGTACGACAAAGAATCTCCAGAGCCATTATTTATAATGAACACTTAAAATAATTACAGTTTAGGACCTACAGTTCAATACTGATTATGACTAACATATACTGATTGATGGGGAAAGATTTAGTGGAATGTTTGAGGATTTTTTTTATTATTATTATTTCAAGTGCTAGGGCTATCTATATATTTTTATTGAATATCTTTATTAACAGGAAGCTTTGGTGGCCCAGTCCATAGGGGTTGAGCTCTTAACCCAAAGGCCACACCCTTCTGGCAGCTCCAATTTAACAACAGCTCTTTGGCACAAAGATGGGCAATTTCCTCCCATGCAATTTACAGCTTCGGAAAACCTGCAAATTGGAAGGTAAGCTATGAGTCCATTCCAGCTTGACAGCAATGAGAGAGACATTTATTACTAAAACACTAGAGTGGTTTAATTTTAGTGATTTTCTGAAAAGGAGTGCTGGTGACTCATGCAGTACTTTTTAGCTGTTAAAAGACAAAGTTTTTATAAACCAAGTGTATACAAATACAATCTAGACTGTGTTTATTTGGGCTGATAGCAGGCAAAGCAGAAAGCAATAAAACTGCTACATTTTGATTCTACCAGCAGTGAAAAAGGCTGGCTGTGCAATCTTTTAAAAATATTTCTTACTGATATGCATACAATAATTTGCATTGTGTTTCACTCATGTGCACTGTTGGGGTTTCTTTTCACTCCTCTCCCGCCACCCATCAAACTCAGCCCCCCCATGATTTCCCCACTCTCAGGCCCTGCCCCCTCCCCTTCCTTCCTGGGATACCATACACTCTTACTGGTTATCCTTCTGCTTTTACAATAATGGTCTTATACAGTATTTGTTCCTATGTGCCTGAGTTAATTCATTCAGCATAATGCTCTCTAGCCTCTACCACGTTATATGTCTGTGAAATCTTTTCACAATAACATCATCCTTTCATTCTTGTTGTTATGTTGTCAAGTAGCTCAGACTCATACATGTAACATAAAAAAGAAAACCTTGCTTTCTTGCATCACACTCTAAATCATCACCACGCTTGAGCTTACTGGTGTGGTCAGTATTTTCCAGATATATGGCAATTTCTATTAAAAACAAAACAAAACAAAACACATCACTCACAGATACTTGAGTTGTAGGGGTGGAAATGCCACTTTAAGTGATGAGATATTATTGTTGCTCAGGTCCAAAGTTTCGAGGGATTGGAATTGTTTCAGCTGTTCGGGTACTATTTCAATAATTCTGTTTCCGGCCCTGGAATTTGAAGACAGCGCAGATAATAGGGTTAATGTTATCAAACAACGATATGATAGCAGGAAAACATTTTCCATTCCGACCTTATTCCTTGGAATAGGGAAAAACCTATCTAAAAGAACTTTTAAGTGTTAAACAGCTAGATGAGAGATCCTTTAATTTTACCTTAAACCAAACTAGATGCCATGAAGCTGATTCTGAATCACAGTGACCCAGCATGTGCCAGAATGGAACTGTACTCCACAGAACTGTCAGTGCTGCTTTTGCTGAAGTAGGTTAGTGGCCTTTTTTCCCAAAGCTTTTTGGAGAAACTGAACCTGCAACTTTTTTTTTTAATAGAGACTTGCATAAAATAGTAACTCATACTATTAGACTATGGGGGGTAAATGGTTTAATAGTTGTGGCCATCTAAATGCTAGGCACTTAAGGAGAATGGTTTGACTGGCTAAGTTGTTTTTGTTGGTGGCTGGTTTTTCGTCTGATATTATTAAACGGTACGTGAACTGGTACATAATTATTCGCTCACATGTTCATCCTTCTTGATTTCTAGTCTATCTCCCATCTGTCTTGTAAAGTAAGGTAAGCACCAAGAGAGCTCACTTTTCATTTCATAAATGGCAGCTTTCAGTGCATGGCCACCACCTTCAAAACCAGTGAGCAGGCTTCTGAGCTTTGAAAATCACAAAACTATTACAAACAAACTATTATAGAAGGTGCAATCCAAAGGAGTCAGTAGATTAGACTGTTATTATTGTTATGTGCCATCAAGTCGCCTGTGACCCATAGCAACTTTATGTATGGGAGCTCTGAACCCTTTCCTGTCCTGAGTCAGTCTAATTCTGACACATCAGCCCTCATCGCCCCAGTTACTATATCAATCCATCTCATCCGGGGTCTCCGTCTCCTGCGCTGTCCCTCCACCCTCCCAAGCATGATGTCCTTCTCCAAAGACCAGTCTCTCCTGGCCATGTGCCCAAAGTATGTGAGAGTTTTAAAATCCTAGCCTCCAAGAAAGAGATTAATCTATTTTCAAATTAACAGTTGTTGTTAGGTGCAGTTAAGTTGAGTATGACTCAGAGTGACTATATGAAGAACGTATCTTAACCTTGTCCTATCTTGTGGCATCCTCACAATCTCTGACACAGCCCACAGATGCAGCTACTGTGTCCATCCACCTGGCTGAGGGCTTTTAATGCTTTACTCACCACTGAACTCTGTCCTCTAATAAGGCAACCACTGACCACACATAGCTATTTAAAGTTAATTAAAATTAAGTCTAACTGAAAATTCTTTCCACAGTCACATTAGCAACATTCCAAAGACTCAATATACACCTAGGGCTAGTGGCTATCACACTTGACAGTGTACACACAGAACAATGCCACAACTATGGAACGTTCTATTGGTTCGGTACTAAGCTACCCAAAAGCACATAGTCAGAATCCACCAGAAAGTCCAAGGGAGAAAGAGGTGCAGTCACGTCCTGTGTGAGCCACTGTCTCTGTAAACCTGCTGGAGGGGTCAGGTATGAGTTGTTTTTGATTCAGTGCTACACATCATCATCATCATCATCATCATCATCAATAACAACAAAGATGGAAGAGAAAGTACCCCAGAAAAGCCAAGTCAAAGCACTTAAAACAACCATCAAGGGGAGGGGGGCTGGTGCCATGTCTGGCCATGAAGGTGGTTAAGAAGCAGCCCCTGAAACAGCCCAAGAAGCAGACCAAGGAGATGGACGAGGAAGATAAGGCTTTAAAGCAGAAATAAAAAGAAGAACAGAAGAAACTCGAGGAGCCAAAAGCAAAGGCCACAGGCAAAGGTCCTCTGGCCACAGGTGAAATTAAGAAATCTGGCAAAAAAATAAGACTGAGGCAATGATGAACCTTACTTCCATTCCTTTTGAAAACATATGGATTCTCTGCTATAACACCTGTTGCCACCTGTGGTTAAAATGAAGTGTTGTCTTGGAGCCTATTGTACATTTAAGAAGAAACTTGTAAAACAGTGCAGAAGAAGCAGCCCTATGATCTCCAGTTCTCACTCAGCCATTCCGATCTTAGCTGTGCAGTCAGAGTAAACACAATCTAGAATCCTGTCAGAATCACCTCTTCATTCTTTGTTATGCCCAGAATTCTGTACCATCTGAAATTAAACCAACTGATTTGGGGGGGGGGGGCGAAGCCATCAATACTACTGCTACCAAGAAAAAAATTAACATTGACCCAGCAATTCCACTACTGGGAATATACCCTAAAGAGACCATAAATGACATCCAAGTAGATATATGTATACCCATGTTTATCACGGCTTTGTTTACAATAGCAAGGAGTTGGAAACAACCTAAATGCCCATCAACAAACGAATGGGTAGAGAAGCTGTGGTATATTCGCACAATGGAATACTATGCTGCATTGAAAAACAAGGAACTCATGCAATATTATTCAAAATGGGTGACCCTGGAGGACATTATGCTGAGTGAGGTATCTCAGTCACAAAGGAACAAATGCTATATGGTGCCACTGTTGTAGAATGAGGCTGGCATTGGGGTGGGGGTAAGACTGAGAAAAACTGCATGAAATATGTTTACGGCATTGAAGTCTATGGGGGAGAGAATAGTCTAAAAGTATTATATTTTAGGGCATTATTTTTATCGTAGGAGTACGCAATGAGGGTTGCAGAGTGGATTATATTTGGGGTGGGGTTTGGGGAGGTGCGGGGGGGATTGTGTACCAATGAGGGAGTTTTTCTTTTGCTTTTCAAGGAGAGGAGCAAACCGGGGGGGGGGGGTTGTGCAGGGAGAAGGGTGCAACAATGAATGAATGGAATCCCAAAATCTCTGTAGATGTCCATTGAAATGAAAAATAAACAACCTAAATTAAAAAAAATTAACATTAAATAACAGTCTTGCTAGAAAACAGGACTAAACCAGACCACATTCCCTTGACATTAGATGGACTACCAACTGAAGTGTTTCATCAACAAGCAGAAGCAGCACTGGATGTGCTTCACTCATCTATGCTAAGAAATTTAGGAGACACCTGTCTGGCCAACTGACTGAATGAAATACATATTTGTATATATTCAGAAAAGGTGAACCAACAGAAGGTAAAAATCACCAAACAATATTATTAATATTACAGGCAAGTCAAATATTGCTGAAGAGAATCCAGGAAGAGTTGTTGCAGTAGTCTGACAAATATTCAAGATAGATTTAGAAAAGGATATGGAATGAAGGATGAACCTTGGCTCAAAGGTGACAATCCAAAAAGGCATTTTCTTATGTTTTATTGACTATGCAAAGGCATTTGACTGGGATCCAAACAATTTATGGATAACACTGTGAAGAATGAAAATTCCAGAATTTGTTCATAGAACAAGAGGCAGTCATTGAACCAAAACAAAGAGATACTGAATGCTTTGAAATGAGGAAAAGTGTGTGTCATATGATTGTATCCTTTTCACTTATTCAATATGTCAATATGCATGTTGAATAAATAATGTGAGAAACTGGACTATATGATGAAAAATGGACTGGCAGAAGACTAACTACCTGCAATATGTAGTTGACACAACCTTGCTTGCTGGAAGTGAAGAGGACTTTGACGTACTTATTGATGAAAAGCAAAGATTATAGCATTCAATATGGATTACATCTCACCATTAAGAAAACAAAATCATCACGGCTCTTTTGCTAATCAAAATTAAGATAAACAGAGAAAGACTGAAGATGTCAAGGATTTCATTTTACTTAGATTCACAACCAACCCTCACAGAAGTCACCAATAAGATATTAAATTCTGTGTTACATTAGGCACATTTGCTGTAAAAGAATCCTTTAAAATATTAAAAAGCAAGAATGTCAGTTTAAAGACTAAAGATGTGCCTAATCAAAATTAGGGAAAGCTTTTCAAACACTTCATATGCATGTGGAAACTGGACAATGAATAAAGCAAACCAAAAAAAGTGTTGATGCGTTTCAATGATGGTGTTAGCAAAGAATACTGAATATGTCATGGACTGCCAGAAAAATAAGCAAATCTGTCTTGGGAGAAGTACAGGGAGACTGTTTCTTAGAAGGGAAGATAGTAAAAAAAAAAAAAAAGAAGGGAAGATAGTAACACTTCATTTTTTGTGCTTTGGGCATGTTAATAGGAAAGCCCAATTCCTGGACTAGACATCACACTTGGCAAAGTAGAAGGTCAACAAAACAAGATTAGGAAGCTCAGTGAAACAGACTGACACAACAGCTACTACAAGGGTCTCAAACACAACAAAGAATGTGAGGATGACCTGGGGCAGGACAGTGTTTCAAACTGTTGACCCAGAGTTGTTAAGAGTTAGAACCAAATTGATGGTGCCTAAGAATAAAACAGTACAAGTACACAGTGGTATTGCTAGATATAATTTGCAAACTTCATGTAACAAGAAAATAGCAACGTGTATCACTTGCATGCTTTTCTTGCTAATGATTATATTTCTCCAGTGTTTTGAGTTTCTGAAACCTCCCTACACTGTTACAAGTGATAAAATTTCTACCTTTCATAATTCAGACAGGACTAATGCCAAGTCCCTGAGTTGGTTATATCTCCTTATGCATCTTCATAAAACTTTATACTTTGAACTCACACAGCATTTATACATTGATCTTCATCACCATACTACAGCCTCCTTCAAAGCAAGCACTGTCTCTACTGCTTTTTAGTGGGATGTGTTCAGAATCACAGATTCTGAATACACTGTAGACACCAAACCTATGTTAAATGTTTTTCAATTATGACGCCTAATCAAAATGCCATTTATCTGATGACGCTTTTCTAAATAATAGTGCTTTTAACCTAGAAAGTCCAAGTCACCTTCCAAAATAAAAGTGGGTTGTTCCCACTGAATTCCTGATTCAAAGATATTTTTGCATAAAATTCTCATGCAGAAAGGAAACTTCAGGAAGCCCTGTTACTTGTACTTTGCAAAAATGCTGAGCTTGTGCTTTCAAACTAACA